AAAGTACATTTTTGGCGGGAAATTCAATATTCGAGTTTAATTAAAAAACTATTTTAGTTAATAAAGTAAATGCGTTAAATATAATGGATTTTTTGATGGAAAGTTATTTATTTAAATGGCGAAAAAGCACACGTGTATGAAAATGAATATTGGGAACAGATTTGTGATTTTAAATTGATAAAGAAACTAGTTGTAAATGGGATTTTGTCTTGAGGGTAGTTGCATGAACGTGTATATAATCTGCCTAATAAATAACAATTAAGATTTAGCTATTGGTTAAAGTTTTTAATTATTTTTTGTAACTAATGCTTTTTACTTTTTTGAAATTGGTGCAGCCAAAAGGTCGACGACAGTCAAATGTTATGTCTCAGATCCATATTATATAAAATTTTGGTGTCAAACGAATCAGAATGACTTGAAACATAACATCAGCAAGTTGGATTTTCTGGCAAAAACGTACACATCGGGAAGTTAATTATATTAGTTTTATAAATTTATTTATTGGTGAATGAATTCAAGATATTGCAAATTTTCTAAGGGCAACACACACACACATACATTTTTTCCATTTTTTTCCAAACTAGTTGGGCGCATGGCATCGTGCCTTAAGGTAAATTGCTGGAACTTCCCGTACCAAAAATTATTTTTTTTTGAAAAGATTAACATTTTTGAAAAAAATTTACTCTGAAAAAATTAGATTTTTGAGAAACTATAAATTTTTGACAAAAATTTACTTTTTTTTTTTGAAAAAAAAAAGACTTTTTGAAGAAAAATTTATTTTGACATATTTTGGAAACTGAACTTTTTTCCAAAGCAATTGTACTGCTTTAACTGCATAGAGACGAAATATCGAAGCGCGTAAGCGCCGCGTCGCTGTCTAACGGATAAACATTGGTACGGAACCCATAGAAATGTAAACATAATTTATACTTATTGTTAAAATCTCTATAAAATATCTGATAATTTGATGTGCATATGTCTAATGATCATTTTTGACCGCCAAATGGCATTTTTTTTTACTTTTTCTACTAGATCTCCGAAACCGCTATACCTGCTTTCATGAAAATTTGATCAGTTCATCTTGTTAATAGAAGTAAAATGTTTTTTGAATTATTCAAATCGGTCGCTCCGTTCTCTCAAATACTGAGTTACAGTTTTCGGCACTTTTTGCCCCGTATCTTCGGAACGGCTAGACCTGCCTTTGCCAAAAACTAATCAACATGTCTTCTTATCAATACGAATCGAATGTTTTTTGAATTATTCCCGAAATCGTCGACGAAAATTTGTATCCGCACACACATACAAACACGCACACACACATACATACACACATACATACACACACACACACACATACATCGATTTTTTCTAAGGTATGCTAAAATGGGAAAGTTAAAAATTTGACTTATCTGAAACATATAATTAACAAATCTGACTTTCTGGCGAAAATATAAACTTCTCCTTCTGGAAAAGTAAATTTAAGATTTATTTCAAATTGATTTTTATTATCCAACGCGAGTTTTCTATGAAATATTTTCTTGTAAGCTTTCCTTTTATTTATTTTATATTTACTGCAACAGCTTTTTGAAAAATGTAACTACGGTTATGTAACCATTAAATATAGTTTTATTTATTTTATTTTTTTTAAAATCTATCGTTTGATGTTTTTCTAGGGCTTGTCTCTTCATTGAGCTATAAATCGAGCTACAGCATTTTTCAATAAATATATAGTCGGAGCTTTTGTGAAAGGAAAATGCTTTGAAGAATAAAAATAAATGGATAGAAGCTTTTATCGACAGAAAGCTGATTCGAGGTTTCTTTTTTCCTTTTGGCAAGTAGTTGACTACTATGTTGGAGATGTAATTATGGCTTTGCGAAAATATTATACGGGCAATGGATAACTAACCATTGTTTTTTGTTAATTTCTCTAAGAAGATTATGCCAGAAAATCCGATTTGCTCACTTTATGAAGTTTGTCCTAAGGGGGCGTCCATTAATCACATGAGGTAAGGGGGGGTTTGACAAAAAAATCACGTCGGGGAGGGAGGGTATAGTAAAATATTACGTGTATTTATTTGTTAACTGATTTCTTTAAAAAAAAACTCAAACATTTATAAAAAAAAATAAAATCTTTTAGTTTTTTCACGCAACTAAAAATACACGTGATGTTTCATGGGGGAGGGGGGGTCTAATTTTAAATATCACCATATATCACCAAGGCGTAGATGGGGTTTAAAAATCCTTAAAAATTCTCATCTTAAAATATTACAGGCCTGCACAAAGTGGCTGAATTATGAAAATTTATCAAAGTTTAGAATAAATAGTTTCTATGACATATACCTTGTATTTCCTAGATGTGCAGATTATATGAAAATCTTGTAAATTTTCTGAAAAGGTTGTAAATTGTCTAAAAATGATGTGGATTGTCTAAAAATGATGCAGATTGTATGAAAATGATGCAGATTGTCTGAAAATGCTGTAAATTGTCTGAAAATGTTGTAGATAGCCTAAAAATGTTCCAGGTAGTCTAAAAATATTTTAAATTGTCTGAAAATATGGTAGGGTGTCTAGAAATGTTGTAGATTCTCTGAAAATGTTTTAAATTGTCTGAAAATATTGTAGGGTGTTTAGAAATGTTTCAGATTCTCTGAAATTGTTGTAAATTGTCCAAAATTATTGTAGAGTGTCTGAAAATGTTGTAAATTGCCTGAAAATGTTGTAGATAATCTAAAAATATTCCAGATAGTCTGAAAATATTTTAAATTGTCCGAAAATGTTGCAAATTGTCTGAAAATGCTGTAAGTTGTCTGAAAATGTTGTAGATAGTCTAAAAATGTTCTGGATTGTCTGAAAGTGTTTTAAATTGTCTGAAAATATTGTAGGGTGTCTAGAAATGTTGCAGATTTTCTGAAAATATTTTAAGTTGTCTGAAAATGTTGAAAATTGACTGAAAATATTGTAGGGTATCTAGAAATGTTGCGGATTTTCTGAAAATGCTGTAAATTGTTTAAAATTGTTGTAGGCTGTCTGAAACTGTTGTAGATAGTCTAATAATGTTCCAGATAGACTGAAAATATTTTGAATTATATCTGTAGGGTGTTTGGAAATGTTTTACAATCTCTGAAATTGTAAATTGTCTAAACTTGTTGTAGACTGTCTGAAAATGTTGTAAATTGTCTGAAAATGTTGTAGATAGTCTAAAAATGTTCCAAATAGTCAGAAAATGTTTTAAATTGTCTGAAAATATTGTAGGGTGTCTAGAAATGTTTTAGAATCTCTGAAATGGTTTAATATTGTCTAAAATTGTTACAAACTGTCTGAAAATGTTGTAGATAGTCTAAAAATGTTCCAGGTAGTCTGAAAATATTTTAAATTGTCTGAAAATATTGTAGGGTGTCTAGAAATGTTGTAGATTCTCTGAAAATGTTGTAAATTGATTAAAATTGTTGCAAGTTGTTTAAGATTATTTGAAAATGTTGTGGATTTTTAGTTTTTTTTTATTAATTAGTCATTTTCAAATGGCTTCAATCACATTACGGCTTAAGACAATATTTTAAAAACTGTGTAATGTTGTAAAGACAGGCTTATAGTTTATTTTGAAGATTTCTATTTAAAAGTATATCGAGTTGCCTCAGGATTTTTTTAAAAAAAAAATTTAATTTAAATATATCTAAAACCAGATTTAAATTAATCGGTTTAACATTTATAAATGATATAAAAAGTGCTCGGATAAATTAGGATTTTATTTTATCTTCAATATCCATTTAAAAGAATACCTTAGGGTTGTTTTTTGTTAGGAAAGTTTGTAGAACAAGTTTATCTCAAACCTCATTTATATTAATCAAATGTTTTAAGATTTGTGAATGATATGAAAAATAAACTTGTAGGGTTATTTTTTACTAAAGTATAATTTTAATAAGCATCATAATATTATTATTATTTTTTTGTTGTTGTATGTAAAATACGGTTTTTGAATTTTAGCGGTTAAAATGCGTTTAATTTTTTTATTATTTTTATGTTGGCGGTTACTTCAACCTGAAGTGTAAATTAAGTTTTGACATTTCGGATTTTTAACACTTATTTTATTTTTCTGTTTTTTTTTTTTTATAAAATGGAACTTTTTTGCAAAAAAACTCGACAGAACAGAACTTTTTTGCAAAAAACATAAATAGTAGGGTTATCTTTTACTAAAGTATAATTTTAATAAGCATCGTAATAATAATATTGTTATTATTATGAATTTTTTTATTATTTTTATGTTGGCAGTTACTTCATCCTGAAGTTTTGACAGTTCGGATTTTTAACACTTATTTAATTTTTCTATTTTTTTTTTTAAATAATTGAACTTTTTTGCAAAAAAAACTCGACAGACAAGTATTGAAGTGTTTATGTATATTCTATATAAGATTTTCAATTCTTCTCAACAATACGAGAGGTTTTCGGCGTCCATTGAAATCCGGCGCATGAAATTATTTATATTTGAACAGGATTCCACAATCCTTTCATTTCGTGTTCAGTCGGAATTCGCAATCAAAATCACCAACAAAGGACATCATGATGATTTATTTATATTTGATATATATTTGTGACCGTTTCATCATATTCATTCATTTTAAATATTCGAATCACAAAAGTCGAGAAGGGACAATATGGCGGCGACCTTTTGCCAGTATTAATATTAATGCTCCAATATTTGCGGCATTCGATGAACTGATATATATTATGGATGAAGTATTTAAACCCAGGAGGTATATCAATCAATAAATCGTTTTGTACTTAATTAAGTATATTTACATAGTCATAATAATATTTACAATAACATTTATAAAAATACACATACATATTTTAAATAACATTTACCTTTCTAACAATAAATATACATATAATAAATATAATGTTTTAGAAAGCGTCTTTCTAGAAAGCATTTCAACTTGGGGGCTCATCGAGTTGAAAATGTTCTTGGAAAATCATAAATACTTAGGATATTTTACAATTAGACTGATTAAGTATTTATACATTTACTTCATGTAGACTAGATGACATCTCGGTTGGTTGAATAATCTGAAAAAAAGAGAAAATAAACAAAATTTAAAACACTTGCTAAAAGTATGATCAGAGGTACGTTTTATATTAAATTTTAAAGAATGATTTATTTATTTTCTGTATTAAGTGAACGCATCTGAAATTAGTTGCAAAACATGAAACAGAAAGATCTGAAGTTAGTTGCAAAACATGAAACAAACTTGCAAGTGTAAATGCTTTTAAACTTTAAAACTTTTTTTAAGAGGTACGTTTTATATTAAATTTTAAAAAATGATTTATTCTTTATATTTATTTATATTGTAACAAAGTGATATTGTTTGGATAAGTGAACGCACCTGAAGTTAGTTGCAAAACATGAAACAAACTTGCAAGTGTAAATGCTTTTAAACAATCATAAACACTTTAATATATAAATGTATTTATTAACGTAGTCATTTTTAACTTTTTATAATTAGTTATAACTAAAAACTCTATCTATTGTAATAAACTACTGGATTACAATTACAATGATAGTTTCTGACAGTTTGACAATCGTAATGGCCGACATTTTGACAATCATAATGGCCGACATTTTGAATTTGTAATTCAAACAATTTTTAGTTTATGTGTTTGTTCTAATCGGTTTCTGGTTGTTGCGCATTTATTTAATTAAGATGTGACAAAAATAATAAAATAATTACATTGTTGTGAAACCTTCATTGCTTATCTATCCGTCAGTCCATCTCCAGTCCGTTTGTCCTTTTGTAACGCTGATGACGTCTCTTGGAATCCAATTAAATAGCAATTTAGCTAAAACCACCATTCAGGGCAAAATGTTTTGCTTCAATTTGTATTTGTGAAATATTGCGTTATAATTGCATTAGGAAAGGTGATAGAGGTGCTCCAGGGGGCACATGAAGAAGTACAAAGTTTGGGTGTGACGGTTTTAAAAATATCTTAGAAATAAATTATATAGCATGTCTTAACAGATAGATTTTATACTAATTTATATATATTTAGTTTTTTGTAGTTTTTTTTGTATGATTTATAATGTTTTGTTTGAAAAATTCAAAAATCAAAATGGCGGCTAAGAACTGTCAAAACTTTTCAAATGGATACAAGGTGTTATGGGAACTTATCATTTTATTCTAAAATTGTTAAACAGCATATTATTGTTTTATCGTTTTCAGTAAATGCACAAACATATTTACAAAATATTGTGTTATAATTGTATAAGGAAAATGATAGGGGTGCTCTAGGGGGGCACAGAAAGAAGTAAGGAGTTTCGAAAGATTTGGGTAGAAAATTTTAGAAAAATATTCAGAAATAGAGTGAGTGTGTTTAATACGTGTCTTATGTTAATTGGTAGTGATTTATTTGTTTTGCAGTTATTCTATTTCATTTTAGTGTTTTGGTTTAAAACATTCAAAATTCGAAATGGCGTCCAAGAACTGTCAAAACGTTTTCCAAATATTTTATTATATTATTATAATAATTTCTTGTTTGCACACTAGTTTTCTGATATTATTTTCAAATGCTAAAACGTATTTACAAAATTCATTAATAATTTGCAGTTTTATAATTAATCAATAACGTTCGGACATATTCAAAATGTCGTCCAACATAGTGCAATTTTATAAAAACTGAGAATAATTTTAAAAAATACAGCAATTTTCATCAAATTATCGATAAACCAGCAGCTATAAGTACTTTAATTAATAACTACTTATTATAAATTATTATCATATAATTATTATAACCTCCAAAATGTTCTTTATGCTTACTCCATGACTATAATGAACAAAATCTTAAGACCACTCTATTTCTATCACTTAGAGTGATGTTTTAATGACTAATTTTTCTCGAGCAATAGAAAATAAATTGGATTTCCTTAATTGAGATATATAACACGATGTTTGTGCTAGAAGCAGAAAAAAAAAGAAAAAAGGGTCGGAAAATGGTCGTTATGTACTTGATTCGTTTTACTAATATAATTGGCTTTGGAATAAAGATGGAACTATCCGGTAGTAGATTTAATTATAGAAATATAAGGGAAAATAAGGATACACGATTTTGTACCTACTATTTTAGCTTTTATCTACATTGAGGAAAATTAGATGAATGAAATCCAATTTGAACGAAGTTGTTATCATCGGAAACTCAAAGTTTACCAATTTAGCTTTTGTGCTGAAATTATTGTATGCTCTGACACGTGGGTAAGGGATTATAATATATACATATATATATATATATATATATATATATATATATATATTAATGTGGTCCTTAATATGGATATTTTTGCATTTCTTTGCTTGCAGGGGCTCTAATGCCTCCCAAATGATGAAAAAATCTGTGAAGGTTATAGTATTTAAAATCAACTGCAACATCATCCGCAGTCGAACCAAAGTTTTTGAAAGAAAAAACTTTATTTTTGAAAAAAGCAGTTGAAAATTTCACCTGAATAGCTAAATCTGAAATCTTATTGATTATGGATTCAATATTCCTTAAGACAAAATACCTTTAACAGCTAGTTTTATAAATATACGAATAAATACTACCAGATTGAAGTTCTAGAATAATCTAAAACAAACTATATATATTGCCCTTCAAGTGATAATCTGAGAATTGTAAGTAGTAAAAATGATTTTTTATAAATTTATAAAAGTTTGTAATAATGGACTATGCCTTTAGACAAAATGCTACTTACACCTAGTTTTGTTTATAAATCTAATTAAATTCATTTGTACTAAAAATATTGAAAAAACGCTTACCATAGGTATCCAAGCCTTAGCAAAAGTATATGAAAAAGCGTTTTGTTAGGTTGGGGCAACATGGCGAGCACTATCGATTTTCAAACTAAAAGTATGATTTGCTTACAGATATCATGCAACTCGCTACAAGGCAAAATGCCACTTACATCTAGTTATATGAAATATTTACTCCAAACGTGGTAGACAACGTGTTTTGAACTTGTAACATAGAACATTTAGCTTCATATCATATTCAGAAAATAGAACTTCATATGCTTTTGACACGTGGATAAAGGTATATATATATATATATATATATATATATATATATATATGTATGTATGTATGTATGTATGTATGTATGTATGTATGTATGTATGTATATATATATGTACATATCCACATGTGTGTGTTTAATTTATTTCGGTACATGAGTTTTGTTCGTCTGTTTGCTTATCTGGGCACAAATCTGTTATGAAGTTTGAAGATGCGTACTTAATCCTCGTATGAAACGTTTGCGGGCATCCCCATTGCGCCCCCATTTCGGCCCCATTTTCGCCCCAATGGCATCGATTCAGTAGCAGAATTCTGTTTGCCATTTCTCGATTCATCTAATTCAGACATTAATGAATACAAACATCGATGTCAATGGAAAAAAAATAAAAGAAATATTTCTGTGCCCACACACAGCATTTATGTTAAATGTATATATATGTATATATATGTATATATATATATATATATATATATATATATGTGTGTGTGTATGTATATATATATGTACATATAAACTGACTTAAGATAACAAATGAAGTCCTGAAAAGTATAGGCGAAGAAAGGACTCTACTGAGCACAATCCTGAAGAGAAAAGAAAACTGGATCGGACTTGTTCTGCAAAAAAAACTTCAATGCAATTCAGGGAAGAATAGTGTAAGAGATTTCCCATTGCCACTTCACACCGCAGTGCGCGAAATAGGCTTGTTTTCAACTGGAAACATATTTTTGATCTATATATTGGTGAAAATGGACAGATTGCCGGAACGAGGGCTCGAACTCGCAACCCCATTCGCATCCATATATACACACACATATCTATATATATATATATATATATATATATATATATATATATATAAACATATATATTATTAATTTGGAAATATGAACAAACAACACTCTTTTTTTCACTAATTTATTAAATAATAACTTTCACAAACCTTTCGAGACTAGGTTTGTCTTATCATCAGTGTGTTATAATTTAAAATTTAAAATATGGAAACCTAAATTAGCATTATGTGTTATCCGTTACAAGTCGTTCGATATACTGTCTTCTGCCACACCAACCTTGTAACGGATAACACATAATGCTGATTTAGGTTTCCATATTTTAAATTTTAAATTATAGCACACTGATGATGAGACAAACCTAGTCTCAAAACGTTTGTGAAAATTATTATTTAATAAATTAGTGCAAAAAAGAGTGTTGTTATTTAATATATATATATATATATATATATATAAAACTTGTTGAATTGTTAAAACCATTGCACATTAGCAATGTGCAAATTATAATCAGTAATAATTTTAATTATTATTATTAATATTATTATTATCATAATGATTGATTTGATCTCCTGAAATCCTATGGGATTATAATTACTAGAATAATTTGGCATTGAAAGGTTTCGGTTAGTTTGTATAATTTTCATTTAATAATGACCGCAAAAACCGTTTTGAATTGAAAACATAATTAAATTTATGAAATACCACAAAGTGAATTCAGAGAGAAATTAAATGATTGACGTTTTGGATTTAGAAATAAATCGTTTGTTGTTCGATTATATTATTCGATATTGATTTTAATCAACCACAAATATAAATGGACCATAAATATAAAGCATATATATTTTAAACTAGGTGTACCAGATGTTTACCTGTCTGTCTGTTCTTTTGTCTAACTATCTAACTGTTTACCTGACTACCTATACATACATGTGAGTGTAGTAAAATTTAGTGCAAAGTGTCTACTCGATCCTTTCTTCTACTAAGTCCCTTCTAAATAAATAATAAAGCCCTTGTGATTGTAAATAACTAAATGGGCAACCGTGTGAGGAGTTGTTAAGTAGGTACTTTAGAAGCCGACACTTGAATAAGATATGATTACCTTGCTTTGGAGGTGATTTTCTGCGAAATATGCCACCACAAGGTATTTTGCTTTAGAGAAGTTTGTAGGGAATTTTGTGAGCTATATAGTTTACTTGAGCGTTTCTGTAAAGTTAATAGTTTCGCGGATACTTGATAAAATATGAAAATAAATCTGGTCTGTATTATAATATAAAGTCCTTTTTCTACATCAGATTTTCTGCATTTGCATCACTCACCTGATTCTATTCAAATATTTTCAGAAGGAAAGTTGCCGCTTTTTGTTATATTGGAGCAGCAACTTGCAAACCACGGCTAAACCTGCGTCACCTGAAAAAGAAGGAAAAACGGTTATATTTAAAATTAAATTATGTTATATGGACCCTATATATTATTTTAGCACTATAAACCGGGCATTCTTTGCATACTTTATATTATCATTTTTCATACTCTATCTCTCTGTTTATTAACACTATTGAGGATTGATCCCGAGACCTCCTCGTGGCAGTCGCGCACTTTGATCCCTACTACTTTATCGGGTTAAAAATACATTATGGGCCAAGTGCTTATTACTAAAGTGATGCGACGATACGCGAAGAATTCCGAACGATTGTAGTGTTGAGGTGGTCCAGTGGCCTGGTGATCGCCTGCCACCTTAAACGTATCATCCAATCTTTTTGGAAGTCTCATCAGAAGTATAACTTCTTCCTCCATCTTACCTGTGTTTCATGTTTTGTGGTCCCCTGCCGCATCAGCCTCTGCCTGCTCCGTTCCTGGTCGGTGGCTCCGTTGCCACCAGCAGGCCCTCTGGTTCCTGGTGGATCCCTGGTCGGAATCCCTGCTCTCTTCAGCATCCTGCAGAAGGCCTGCCGAAACGTCAGACGAAACTGTCTGCTCATGGCACAGTAGAGGATGAAGTTGATCGCGGAATTGATCAGGGCGAAGATGTCCATCACTTCACCTGAAAAGAAAGGACAAAAAATTCGTTTGTTATAATTAATAATTAATAAATCGATGTTAATGAACTGCTGTGTCTACTGGTGAGGTGTATAATGGTTCGCAGAATTGCTATGCCTATTGCTGAGTATTATAGTTCAATTCTATTGAAAATGTATATTGATGAATTGAGATTATGATTAAATTTCGATTCATCATATATAATAACATTGCAGAGTGTATTATAATCAGATTGGATCTTGAGGATTTGCATACGAGAGCATGCAAACTGTGAATTGGCCTATTGGCAACACGCATATGCACAGGATCAATATATATATACTAGCTGACCCGGCAAACGTTGTTTTGCTAAGTAAGGTATATTCTAAACTATTTCTACAGAATCAAAAAAAATAATACTTTAAAGGTATAAGGATGTGTTGTTTGAATACTATATACAATAAGGTATTATAAAAACAATAAACCCCATTAGCTTGTCTATATTTTGTCAATACAATCAAACTGGAAATTTTATACACTTTCTATAGAAAACATGGTATAATCCAATCCAAGTCTTTTTTGGTCTTTCGACTTATTGTTTCAAGTTTTTCAGATTCTATTTGGATTTGGGATTTTCTGTATAATTGTAAATAATACTATAAAATACTAAAACTATAAAATTTCAAATTTCTGCGAGGAGAGAAAAGCTTTTTGAAAAGTTTCAAGTAACATTCGATGAATTAAGATAAATTTAATAAAAAGTATATATGTAGAGCAGGGCGAGTACAAAGTTCCAACTTGACTTTGAGCAAATATTAATTATATTATTAAAATCAAACCAATTATATCACAACAAATAACACATTTCAAACGAACAATTATCTGACTACGTTCAGTAAAACTGCCAGCTACTTCATCATTGTAGAAATGTGCTTTTTTGATGTCTTTCAAAAATTTGTTATCTAGACCTTTTTACCCCATAGACGGGGTAACTAGGAACGGCCAGGTGGCAAGCAGGTTTGATGTCTTATTATAATTTTAAACGTATTTTACAAAATAATTATATTTTTAACTGATGCTAAAAAAAGCTACCAACGGAAGAAAATACTTTTCCATTTAAAGACTACCGTTTTCAAATCAAGGTTATAGCTGGTTATACATCTTTTTTCCTCTACTTACAAATATTGTTGTTAAACAATGCTTAACTTTACTGATTTTTGACACATCGGTGGTGGACCTTTTTAACCCCGGACCTTCATATATTACTATCTATTCTTCGATAAATTGTGGGAAATTATAACTGGAAAAATGTTATTCGACAAAATGTCCATTTGATCGATACCAAATTTAGGTTCTGGATTTAAATAACATAAATAAAAAATAATATAACCTAGAAAATGTTTTATAAATACCAATGAGTATATAATTATACAAATGAGATTTTTCAGAGCACCGTGTTTGAGAAAAATATGCAAAAAAGTCCATTTTTATATTAACATTTCAAAAAAGTTGATATTTTGAGTCTCTGGTAACACTTGCGGCCCATTTACTAACGTTTTTGCATATAAATAAAACTACAAACAAAACTACTTACTACAATTTAATCATAATTATATAATATTCACGTAAAACATCCTATTAAACGTAATTGAACATCATCTGTCCAAAACGTTTGACATTTGACGTATTAGCCACCGGCCATTGTCTTATTTAAATTACGCTTCTACAAAAAATTTCAAATTAAAAATGTAAAGTTTCTACGCGATTTTAAAATAATATCTCACCTTTCCGACCATCTCTGGTTTGGCACAAATTTTTCAAGACAAAGACTTGCCAAATCGGTTTAGCCGTTTTCGAGTTTTAGCGGATCATTTGATCGAGAGCTCTATTTTTATATATAACATATATATATATATATATATATATATATATATATAATATATATATAAGCATAAGCTATGTAGTAGAAGTTCAATGAATTTCTTTATGCCTCATTTTGAGTCTTGATTTGCTTCATCTTAAGTACAATACCATAAAATACATAAAAAATAGTTTTTTATGTACCAGACTAGGCCTTTTATCTGGATAAGTTTGACTAATTATAAATAATACCAATTAAAACCTATGCTTATCTCTTGCCTCTCGTTCCTAGGCATTGGGGGGGAGGCTCTAGAATTCTGTAATTCCCACTTTTAGTTCAACTATTGTTCTAATTGGTTCCATTCGCTTCGTATTTGAAGTTCGCAAGCCTATGAGAACTTTGGTAACGAATGCGTAAACTAGGTGTAAGTGGCAATTTGCCTCAAGAAACGTTGCGTGAACTTTTCCATAAATGAATAATTATAATTGAGCCACTTTTTGATTATATTTTAGAACCATATTTAATTAACACTTTTCAGAAACTTTAAAATCGTCGTCCAAAGCGGAAAAGTCATATCATGTTTCAATAATGTTAATAACAATTTATAATACTATTGTTATTCATAGTTAAATTAATCTAGTTGTTTATAAATCCTTTGTATACGAGTCATTCTAAAAATATCTCGAAATAACTTCGATGAATTTGCATATTATTCGATGCTTTCGATGAGAAATGAACCAATCTATATGCTGTCATTTTTTATTGTTTCGAAATAATTAAGTCCTAACACCCAGTTGTGATTTTGGACGAAAATAAATTGTTTTTTTATTCGATTTTTCCTTTTTCACGATTATTAATTGTTGTATTGCGTGTTATAGAAATATTATCCTTTTCCGCTTTTCATTTTTCATTTTTTCTATAATAGGACAAAAATTGCAAGGACTAAAAAAAGCACGTATACAAAATAAATTGCAATGATTGTTCGACATCCTACATAGGTGAAATGATACAAAAATATACAACACAAAATATTATCAGATTAATAGAACATACACAAGACACTGTTATTAATTTAATTTTTAAAAATAATTATTTGAAAAATATATTATTCATGATTATTATTTATAAATTTATTAATAAATTTTGAATGCGCAGGTGTTGCTGGTCGAATTGATGGCATTGTGAAACATCTTGGAGAGAAAAATGCAGACGATTGATCCAATTTCTTCAAATATAGAGGACATGAGGTATAGAAACAAATTTAACACTTGGCTGTACACAGGATAGGAAATAAGGTATTTATTTAGAATTTAAGCTTTTCCACAATCGGGATGCAAAATTATTCGATTACTAAAATGACTTTTACCAAATAGGATAATAATAGTGATAGGTAAGTGAAAATTTAAGGTTATCTGTGTTTTTTTAACTTCGCGTAGTGTAAGTTATTGTAATCGTCAAAAAATTTAAATTTTTGCATAACTTCACGTTTCAGATGTTTCTGAACATTTTGGCATTCCTTAGCAAAAATTGATGGTGTGTGTATGTATGTATGGATATAATTTTTTGGGAGCACAGATCAACCGATTTGAATGGTTCAAAAAACATTCCATTCCTATTGATAGGGAGATGTGTTGATTCGTTTTTGGCAAAGGCAGGTTCAGCCTTTTCGGAGATACGGAGCAAAGAGTGTGGAAAATAGAAATAGAGATTTTGAGAGAACGGATATTCCGATTGGGATGATCCAAAAAACATTCAATTCGTAATTATGGAGAGAAGTAGTGGTTTGTTTTTGGCAAAGGCACGTCCAGCCATTTCGGAGATACGGAGTTAAATGCGCAAAAATTCCAGTTTTTTAGAAAACTACGCATCCGATTTGAATGATTCAAAAAACTTGACTATACCTAATAAAAGATATTGATTTATTTTGCCTAAGGGCACCTAGCCCTTTTTTTCAATGTCTAAGAGTGCGATCCTGTCTTTTTCTTTCATGTAGGTCAAGTCGTCCATTAAAATAATGCAATTCCGTTGCAGTCGGCAATAAAATTTAAAAATGCATAAAAACTCAACAATGTAGATTGAGAAATGCGCCTTGAGTTCCCATCTTTACTATTCATAGTATAGGAATATTATATTTTCATGTGTATTTTTTTTTAATTCATCTCTTGTAAATTTTTAAAGTTTTGTTTGAGATGGATGGTGTTGCAAATTTGTTAAAATTAAATTATCTACAATTATAGAGATTATTATAACAACCTATGGGGTAGCAACCATTCCGTGTAAAGCCTAATGCCCTGAAGTTTGTCACCTTCATGGCCAATATAACAAAACGAAAAGACGTCCGAACAATGATTTTAATGAAATTTGTTTAGAAAATGTACATTTTGTTGTTTCATCATGAACATTTTTTGAAGTATTCATTGGATTAAATTGTATATTTGGAACAATTAAAAAATCTTATTATTTACTCATATTATAAAAACCTAGAGCAACTTTGTACACTCTAAAAAGTTTAAAACTTTGAAATATGGCTTATAAACATTTTTTTAGAGACAGTGTGTTTTAATGATTCGTTTATAATTATTTTTTAAAATATTTATTATATACAAATTGAATAATTTGTTTAAAATCAAAGAACTTCGAACTTAGAACTTGGTGTACTCCAAAATTGGATTTGAAAACTGGCTTTCACCAAATTTAGTTAGGAAAAGGTTCTTTTTTTTGTTGATGATGAATTTTTTTGCAAAGTCTTCGTTATATACAAATTGTGTACCTGGATAATTTGTTTAAAATTAAATATTTCACAATATTTTTTAATAAAATAAGGCCCTAGAGCAACTCATAAATAGTTACAGGAAAGAAGAGAATCAAAAATCTTTTGGACGTTCTTGATGAAACCTTGGGTTTGGTGTTGCAAATAAGTTAATTCGTTATATTTTTCGAACAAAAATTGTCGACATTTTTTTCAACACCAATGTGTGATATTGCAAATGAGGTATTTTACTATTTTATGCGAAGAATCCAAAAGTTTCTGTTTTTGCGCAAATCTATCACCCACAAAAACGTCCTAACATAAATCAATGATACCTTTTAGCTTATTTTTTGTCCTTTATCAAAAAGGGGGCACCGATGGAAATCTTTATGAGAAGGGACTTCTGTAGATTTGCACATATGTGTATGTATGTATTTTTCTGTTTAGATAAAGTAGAAAGTCATGTGTTATGTCTTCACCTAAATCAAATTGATGTCGTCATAAAAAAGTACTCTTCGGTCGCCATTACGTGTAGGGACTCATTTCTAGGGTTTTATAAGTAACTTTTAGATTTGTGGTCAAAATTAAATGTAGTCTTTGAGAAATATTTAATATATTAAATTTCTTACATTTTTCCTTAATAATATAAAGCTCTAGGATGCATATTTTTTTTAATAATTGACTCTTGAAGTTCATATTCTTTTCAGAGCTCATTTTGTAGCATTTTTTAGCTTATGAATATTTTTTTAATTTGTGTTAAAAATTAATGGTTAAGAAAATCATGAATTATAACGTATTTTTACATGTTTAATTATAATTTGTAAAGTAAAAGTGGGTAAAGCTAATAATAAACTTTAAAGATAATTTATTATAATAAATTTCCTAAATTTTGGCCCAATTTTGGTCATTAATTAACATTTCAAGTAATCACAATCACAATTAAACAAAAATCATTTTTAAACCAAAATTTTACAAAAAAAACTTTTGAATTCTACAAATTGCGTGATAAATTTTCAGATTTGTCATTATAACTTATAAAGTAGTACACCAAGTTAAATGAAGTTTTAGGAAAAGTTTTGATGAATACAATTTCTTACAATTTACTTTTACAATACAATATTGTAAGAAAAGTTGTTAAATTCCTATAAAATATATCAACACTTTATAAAGTAGGTAATTCTGTATATTTTTCATTATAACTTTTAAACTTGATTTTTAAATGTGATTCATAATAATTCAATTCTTGCTCATGTTGGTATTAAAATTAATAAACGAAACTTCACAACAATATTTATAATTTCAAAACCATTTGATTAATATGAATGTATATGTAAAAACCCTTGCACAACTCGGTATACTTCAAAAACGCCATTGGATATCAAGAATAATGTCTTAAATAAGATTAAGTGATAATAAAATTAATAACGAATGTTTGTCAGAACCGACGTCTTATGCAAAATGGCGTATTGTGCGGTACAAGGTAGTAATGTGTTTAAATGTGCAGAAACCGGCAAAAAGTGAGGTATTATGCGGGAAATCGTATTAAGCATCAACGTCTTAACAGGATCTTACTTTTAGTTTAGTTTAGCGTGCTACCAAATGCTAATTTTGAGATTTTGACATTTAATAAAATGGCGGTTCCACTGTCAAAAAGTGCTAATATAAAAGTATTTACATATGTGGAATATGTACCAGCAAGCATTATTCAGGTACTGTAATTGATATTACACCCTTAGTTTTTTAGTATACACATCTGTTCGTTCAACCTAATAATTTCTTTCCATATTTGTTTTTTATTTTTCACTTCGGGGGCGGTTCTTTAAACGAAACTGTTCCGGGAATCGTTATAATAAATTCAAGGATTTTTCTACAAAAGGAGGCTGATTTTTCGCCCCTTTTTTAATAACTCGATTTGTATTCACACGGCGTTTCATTTATATTTATAACAGTTGAATGTAAAGTATGAATGAGATGGAAGTCTATAAAAGATATATCGATTTAAATTGGATGCTTTTTTATGGTTTTATTTTCTATGTAACACATGCAGTATTTTGTTAGCTCAGAGAAGTCTTAAGGTTTCAATTGGCAATTCATGTTTTGATTGTTTTATTAGTTTAATTATATATTTAATTGTATCTGTATGCATATTTGTCTCGTGTCTATGTACTGTCATATACAGAACAGTTGTTATTGTCATTTTATTCGTTTGTGAAATAATATCCTCTCTCGACGTATTCGTGACCCCCCAGAGCACTCTCTTAGTAGGAGAGATAGTGTTAAAATTACTCAAACACATATATAACTTTCTAATAAGCGTATTATATATATTTTCCACAGAAAACTCTTTTTTTATGAAAAAAAATACTCAACATTCACATTTACAATTTTCTTCTACTAGCCCCGGGGACTCCAAAAGGGTATCCAATACTCTTAATACAAAATTATGTCTGAATAATTTTTCACATTTCTAAATAATTAAAAGTGCACCAAGGACCCCAATATGTACCTGTCACGTTTGAAGCATTTTTGGGGTCCTTTGTGCCCTTTTAGTATGAAAAAAGGTGAAAAATTCGGTATTAAGAAAGGACGAAATTGTTTGTCACATTTTTCTTATGCAATATCAAATGTAATGTTATATATATATTTGTAATTAAAATGTCCCGCCATTACTATTAGTGATGCTGGCAACAGTGTTCTCCTACAATAGACCGCCATCTTATATTTTCGTATCCGCCATCTTATATTTATGTTTATGTTAAAAACTATGTAAAATAACTCTCTTGCTGCTGAATCGCGATACAAGTAACATTTAAAATAAACTGAGTAATTTTAAGGAATCATTTTTATTATACCAAAGAGTATTATATATTGGTTACCATTTTGAAGTCCCCGGGTCTATTTTATTATCAGAATGGTGGGAAAGTTACTCAAATACATAAATAAATTTTAATTAGAGCACTTGGTACATTTTGGGGTCTATGTTACCTTATTTTGGAATCTTGGAACAAATAGTAATTTAATGTCAATATCGACCTTACAAATGTTGGTACAATTTTTTAGTTTTAATTATGAAAGATAAAAATATCTATTTTATCTATAAGTTTTAATAACAATTAGTTAAACTTCATTTTATATTATTAAATTCTTCATTGATGGGGGTACATTTCTTAGTTTTGATTATGTATCTTTTTAAACGGATGATTTTGAATAATTTTGGCCTTTGAAAGATAAAAAGTAGATCAAATTAACCACACAATGATATCACATATTGTCTGTGTAATTTTCAAATTTTAATTATGACTCTTTTAAATAGATGAATTTAGATAATTTTAAGCCTTAAAAAATTAAAATCCTAATTTTTGCGAATTATTTTTGAAAAAGATAAACATAATTATTAAATAATTAATGAGACATAATCCAAGTAAAAGTATCTACAAAATAATACCGAAAACCACTTTCTAACAATATTGAATAAACTATTCAATAATTTTGCCACTATCTCGTAGTCTATTCCTGTGCTGTTCAGTATCATGTTATTATGTAATTCGTTAGGATGTTTGAAATTGATATATTCGCATTTAATGGCAAAATATTATTATTATTGTTATGTAAGATATGCAAATTATACCAAGGAATTGATATTCGAGAAATAAATTGATTGTGTACTTTGTGTATTAGGCATCTATTTATTTTATACTTTGAAATTTTATGTTCGAGTAAAGTAATTTTTTAAGGCTTGTGAGAATGAACTTTTGCATAAATATTTGGCTATAAATTATATATCCAAATTAGAATAAATATGTCTAACATAACGTAACATAACGTAGGGCTAAACTAAATTTTTAGGGTTTCTAATAAAAGAAACTCTGCTGATGAGCGAATCTGCAGACGCATTATTTTAAATTAATTTGATTAAATCAAAGTTATTGACTTTAAGAAGCAATGTATTCAGGGCTTTTTGAAGGATAAAGGAATTTACTGGCAAGCAAAAGGAAAATTGACTTTAAGGAACAAAGATTCCTTAGTTTGTATGATCTGGAGACATGGACTCTGAGAACAGCATTCTTTTGCTGCTTGTATGGATCAACAGATTTTGCAACATACCAAATGAAGAAACAAAGAACTTCTGAACTCTATTTGACACTTTCTAGTGCAAAACCAAGTAGAAGTATTGTTACTCTTACCTAGTTTCAAGTAGCACTCGGAGAAAAACGCGTTTCCCAAAAGGGCGCTCAGGAGTCCCAGAATCCCTTGAGGGAATTCTGTGATCAGAAACAGCAGAAGAACCGCCAGCAACATCCTAGTCGTTCGATCAGTCTGTCTCTCCTTGGTGTCCGAGTGCTTCGTACTAGATTTTGGATTTAGGGCCTGTTTTGCCTCCAGAACTAAAATAGTAAAAAACGGGCATCTTCAATTAGGTCACTGTACTATATGTAGCGTCTGGATTTATTTACCCACCGTTGGGATTTGATGTTTGCATCAGTTTCCTACGTCTTTTTTTGGTCTCCAGCAAGGCCATGATCAGTCTAAGGCTCAAAACTGTTAAGGCAATGCAAGGGATGATCTTGATGACGACACTGTAGATCCAGAAATTGACGTTCAGTAACATTTCGCCATTTGCACGACCTAGTTCACTCTGGAAGTTAAAAATAGTATATTTTTATATTTGTAATATTTTTTTGCAACCCAACCGTCGAATTAAAAAAAGATTAAATAACAAAATTATTTATTCCATTAAACGTTTCGGCACTTGATGTGTGTCATCATCCAGTAATCTAAAAAAAAACATATAGGAAAGAGTTGTGAGAAACGAAAGGGGAAAGAAAAACAGAGAAGACATATATTTCGTTTCTCACAACTCTCTCACACTCCTTCATTACACGTGCGGGTACTACACTGCGCTGTAACCTTGATCAGTGACCACAATGCAATGCTATCAATAACAATAAATATAGGAGGGCAATATGTGCTCCTTCTATTTCTCGTTCGTTAATATAATAGTATTTTATTATTTTACACAAATCTAGTGCTCAATCAATTTTACATCATAAATATTTTTTTCTGTTGTTTTTCCTGGTTTGGTATGTATAATTTCCTCCTTTTATATATTTATAATTATCATCAACTGTGTATTTATGTTATATGTTTTTTTAGATTACTGAATGATGACACACATCAAATGTCGAAACGTTTAATGGAATAAATAATTTTGTTATTTAATCTTTTTTAATTCGACGGTTGGGCTGCTAAAAATATTACAAACATGTATCAACGTCGACAAAACTATCATATATATATATATATATATATATATATATATATATATATATATATATATATATATATATATATATATATATATATATGTATATATAAAATTTAATGACTCACTTTGTCGACTAAATAAATGGTTGCGTTTTTCCTGTCTTCCAAAGGCGTGTTGTTGTTGATGGGATATCCTGATAGTGTCAAGACCTCACGTTTTTCTTTAATGCTGAAAACAAAGCAAAACACATCACTAGACGTAAGTGGCATTTTGTCTTAAGGCAAGACAAAAAGGATATCAATATATCAATTTGTGAGTGATTTGTAAGTATATTGAGTTAGGCATTGTAATGTTAGAAAGTGTTCATCTTTTATTAAATTTTTTATAAATTTTTCCTATTTGCAAACATAAGGGCTTTATCACTATTATTATCAATATTAACAAAGTTAATATTAAGATCTAAAACTTTCAGGGATTTTTTTTATTATTTTGGAAGCATTTGAACTCCTGGGAGCAAAGAAATTTGAAAATCTCCATGTAACTTACATAATCAAGCGCCGAAAATTAATTTGAATGAAATTTACGATTAAAATGGACACTTTTACATGTTGTTTTAATAATAATTGCAATATATCAAAAGAAAGAAAAGAAATGGGCATCATTTGGTTTAAATAAAACAATATTACATTATTTAAGTAAAAATATCTTAAACCATTCTAATAAGTTTAAGCTGTCAAGCTAACGTGTTTTTTCTCAATTTTTCTCAAAATTCATTTTTATAATTGTTAATTTTTATAAATCACGTCAATCGATTCAGAATGACTCTAAACCTCTGGAAAACACAGATTTCGTATATTACACCATAGACCTCTTCGATTTGTATATATTTATATAGGATTGTTTGTATATGTTACCAAGTGAGACCATTTTATGACCGCCGGCGGTCGTAAAGATTTTTTATCGTTTGATGAAATGTTTGGTCTGAAGGTGAACATCAAACTGTGGGTCGCAATAATAAAGATTTTATAATATACTAGCTGTACTCGTTCACGCAAAGGGTGGTTTACTTTCAAATAAAAATTTGAACAAAAATGCGTAATTGTTACATCTATTCTACAAGTTTTCTTGTCAATCAGTCTGCTGTAAATGACCATTTCTCTTCGTTTCTTTCCTGTCCTCCAGATTACTTGCCCAACAATTTACCTGTCCGCCAGTATACCTCTCAGGCTGTTTATCTGTCTACCAATTTACCTGTTTATCAATTTATCTTTTCACCAATTTACCTATTAACCTGTTTATCAATCCGCCATTTTACCTGTCTACCAATTTACCTGTCTACCAATTTACCTGTCAACCAATTTTTCTGTCATCCCGTTTTACATGTCTACCAGTTAACCTGAAACTTGTTTATCTGTCTACATATTCGTCTATCTACAAGTTGTCCTGTCTACCATTTTAAATATCCTTCAATTTACCTGTCCACCAGTTTACCTATCTGCCAATTCACCTGACTACCTGCTCATCTGTCTACGTATGCCTAATTTTTTTAGCTTGCGTTTGATATATTAGAATTATTATTGTTTAATATAGATATTTCAAGATATTCTAAAAATATGAGAAATGTCTATCATTATTATAAATTAATTTTTGGTGCTTGATTATATGAGTTACATGGATGCCGTAACATGATTGTTTCAGAATCTGTGTTCTATGCAACATTCAGACGAAATCTGTAATATATGTATATATATATATATATATATACATATATATATACATCATGTATATATATATATATGTATATATATATATATATATATACATATATATATAATCAAAACAGCAATAATAATAAAATAGCCACATAAAATTTGGACAGCTATTTATGTATTTTATATGATGGAAACCAGACGTTCTGATTATATTATCATATTTACCCACTGCACTATTTATAGTATCAATTTCATACATTTATTTATTATATAAATCCTTTTTAATACAAAAAATATATGTTATAATGTAAGTTACAGCAGACCAGTCGTTCTGAATCGTTTTACACCGTAAACGTAAGTCCTTATGGTATTTCTTCAAATAGCTTTTGAATTTTTAGAATCAGTCCAGAATTTTTGAGAATTTATCAATTAAATAAAATATATTACAATATTAAAATACATTTTTGGATTGATTATTTGTGATATTAAATTAGTATTAAAGTAAGGATAATTGGTATTACTTGCATCTCATATATAAATGCAAAAATGTCAGTTTTGTCAAAATCTTAAACAAGTAGTGCTTTGTTGGTACTAAGGTATTTATTTAGCAATATCAATAATAATCTGATCCAAGAAATTATGTTATGATTAAAGTATGACATGTACCCACATACACACATATACACACGAGTATATTAAAAAGGCCACGTAGAAGATTTCTGTCCTCTCCTAAGAAGTCGTAAAGGCGTCGTAAAACTCATATATTTTTTTTTAATACTGCCAGAACACTAATAACGTCACACAGGGTAAACGAAAGTGTCCGTCATCATTAGTCATGACTTTTACGACAGTTTTACCAACCGTAGAAGAAACACACACACACGTGAACTTGTCCGTATAAGGACTAACTTCATATCAAATAAAACCAGAGAGAAAAGGACTCTACTGACCAGCTGGAGACAACATGAGCTCACTTCATATCGTACAGATCTGTTTAATTTTATATAAATGAAAATTGGTGTCAGGATATGCGTCCTATTATTAAATGGGGCGATAAACGAACTCTAATGACAATCTAGAGACTCAATATAGGTTCACTTCACATCACATAGTAATAGTAATTGCATAGTTGAAAAATTGGACATTGGACGCGAAAAAAAACTCTACTGATTTTATATTGGATGGAGTTTCAAGATATTTATGGCACTATTATATATTTTTCACCAAATATTGTTCTGAAGCGAAAGGAAACTGGGTTGGATCAGTATGTTAATCTGTTATCCTTTCCTCGGGCCTCGATTATTTTTTCTTCGCAGCTAATGAACTGAATAATGTTTAAAAAGTAATTAAACCGTCCGGAATCTCTTTAAGCTGTTTATTTGGGAGTTAATCCTCGAAAGTCGTAAAGTGTAAAGTATATTGCGACCGCCATGATGTCGTAAACACGCTGCAGAAAATACAAAAGCAGCAAAAACAGCAGAAACAGCAGAAGAATTAACAAACAAAAACGGTTTTGCGTCAGAACTATTTTCGCTACCTGGATAAATATTTAGTCGAAAGGAATTTTAAGATTTAAACTAAAATTGTGCACGGCTTTCAAGTCCATTTGTGTGAACTATGCTTTATATTTTAATATCGACGTTGTGTAGCAAAACAAACTGCAAAAAATCTTCTTGTTTAATGGATGCGTAAGTTGTACTTTAATTAATGCTAATGCATTCTGCATAAAATCTGTCTATTTTAAAAATATTAAATAAAAAGCATCTACGCATATCATGATGCACCCACGTTTTTTATAGAATTTGCAATAAATAGGAAAGTCTATTGGAAAAAGCTGATGTTTAATTTCCTCACCTGAACGCCAAATACAAAGGTATGCAGATCAAAGGACACGAAACGTATGCCATTGCTATGGCAATTATGGTCGTCTCCATTCTGCACCATCTGGAGTTCTTTTGTGGATGAGCGATGGCAATGTACCTCCAAACGCCAAGGTGACTGTCAGCCAAATGGATATGGTGTGGCATATCTGGAAAAAAAAAATTCAAGGTCAAGTTTCAATTCTAAATAGATAAAAGGTCAAGTTCAGTTCTAAATAGATAAAAGGTTAAGTTTCAGTTCTAAATATTTTTTAGATAGTTGATCAGCTAACAATAAAATTGGTGATACGTTTTAAGGCTAACTGAAAGAATACCATCTAATTAATATATTTTACCTAGAACTGATCTATTCAAATGGCCTTATTACCATTTTATAATTTTTCCTGATTTTGATTATGTCTTTTTTGAAGTATTTTGAAGAATTATCAGAATTATGCTGGTTAAGTCAACGAGCAATTCTTGCCGTCAAGAAATATGATGTACACGCATAGAATTTCACCATTCAATCAAAAATATGCTGGCGATTTGGTGACATACCAATGATTCTGACTGGTCTTCCGTTTGACTTCAAACGATTGCAATTTCCAGTTAGCCTTGTGTTCGCAATAACAAGTCGCAAGGCCAATCGCTTAGTGTTTTCGGGATAAATTTCAAATAAATTATCTAGAAAATCATTGTTTTTCACATGGGCAGTTATACGTTGCCTGTTCACGAGTTGGAAAACCATCGCCGTTTGTTTGTGTTAACGTCAGACCGAAAAACAAAAAATGTGGTTTACCAAAGAGAACTTCAATGAAACGGATTAATTTGCGGATTCACTTTCATTTACTTAGAGAAGTTCAACTAGAAAACACTTCATTTTTGTAATCGAAATAAATTCATTACTGTTGTGCAATAAAATCAAATTTTTCCTTTTCAAATATAAAACAAACAAAAAATTTCTTCATCTTTCTCACGAAAACCATCTGGTGGCGAAACGGAGTTCGTCGGGTTTGCTAGTTTGTCTAATAAATATAACAACATTTGGTCCAGTTTTCATCCCTATTTGGACTCCATCTATCACTTGGACGTTAGATTCACAAACATTCTTCTATTGCTGGATAATCCCAAGTTTCATTAGTTTTTATTGGTTTTCCTATATCATCTTGGCATAGTTCATTCGGATGTTGGATTCAAAAATCTTCTTCTATTGCTAGATGATCACAAGTATTTTTTTCTTGGTCAACTGATATCCTGCAACCAATTTCTGCACTGCTCATTTGGTTTTTTCTTCCTCTATCATAACCCTACTATGCCAATTAGCGACTCATCATAACTTTAGATCATGTCAGGCTATTTTAGTCTGTCCAAACAATAAATATTTACGATTCCATCTCCGTCTTGACTTTTGACAAATGACCCAGTTGTGATGATTTGCATAACAAAACGACAGTTGAAGACTTATTTGAACTAGACACTGACTTGTTTATTATGGAAAAATAATTAGATTACTAAATTTGGAGCTCGAGAAGATCATGAACTAACTGTGGTGGCAATTAGCGAGTAAGGAAAATCACAGTAACATTATGAACAAAATAAATTCGAAATTCAAACGGTGCATTCTGAAGAGCTTGGTAAAAATAGATACATATATATAGTTATGTTTATAGTCTATAACTATATTTATAAAATGTGTTAAAACATTTATCTTTTCGATTTTAGAAAAAGCGCAGAGGGATTAATGTCTGAAATATGTTTATTCCAAACATTTCTTCATTCTTATTTCTCTCTCTGATTAAAATCATGTTGAAAATTTACGTTTCGGAAATTCTTTTAACACCTTCCTGAGGATTTGAAATAAAACATGTCGATGGATCGCGAGTGTCAGAGATGCTTCAATCGGATAGAAGATTAAATATTTATATAAAATTTGTTAAAATAGATTAAAAGAAAATATATATATATATATATAATATATATATATATACTAATTAAAAATTAATAAGTATGAATTATTTCTAAAATATATTCATATGTTTTATTTAATTCAATGACTTAATTGTTTTTAAATACATATGCATGCTTATTGTGTCATTAAAGATGATGGAACCAATTTCTCGAAACGTT